GGTAGGCCGTCGGGTAGGGCGTCGGGAAAACCGTGGGGTAGGGCGTTGGGAAAACCGTGGGGTAGGGCGTTGGGAAAACTGTAGGGTAGGGCGTCGGGTAGGGTGTGGGGTAGGGCGTCGGGTTCGGCGTCGGCTTCGGCGTCGGCTTCGGCGTCGGGTACGGCGTCGGGTATGGCGTCGGCTTCGGCGTCGGGTTGGGCGTCGGGTACGGCGTCGGCTTCGGCGTCGGGTACGGCGTCGGGTTCGGCGTCGGGTTCGGCGTCGGCTTCGGTGTCGGGTACGGCGTCGGGTTCGGCGTCGGGTTCGGCGTCGGCTTCGGCGTCGGGTATGGCGTCGGGTTCGGCGTCGGGTTCGGCGTCGGCTTCGGCGTCGGGTTCGGCGTCGGGTATGGCGTCGGGTTCGGCGTCGGGTTCGGCGTCGGCTTCGGCGTCGGGTTCGGCGTCGGGTACGGCGTCGGGTTTGGCGTCGGAGATGGCGTCGGCTGTGGAGTCTGGAAAAAATAGCGGGCGCGCACGCATACCCGGGTTCCGGCAGGGTAACGGCAACCATGCGTCGCCCACCAATTCGTGCCGATAGGAGCTGGAGCCTCCCATGTCGCCGGGCCGAACCAGATAATGGAGGAACCCGCGCACTCATCCGAATACCACAGCACACTTGTCCAGTAACCTCCCACACCACCATTAAATTCTCGGACGACACAGCCGTAGCCTTCGGCCGCATTATCGTTGGGCTGACGCGCCCACTGCATTCCGATCACCCCCGCGGGTATATTAGCAGCCCCCGGCGCCTGGAACATCGGAGAGTCGTACATCGTGCCATAACAGAAATTTTTGCACACTGCCGACGACCACGCACCTGCCCGCCCAGAAGGGGCGCCACTTTCGACGCGCAGCGTGGTATTTACGGCCTCAACGAGCTCGACCTCAGAAAGCTCTTTGAATGGACCATCGCCATCCTCGATGACCATGCGCATCGCCGCTGGATCCCCTCCGAGCGCCTTCGCGCGCACGATGAAATAGAGAATGGCAACGCTAGCGCGAAAAAAACCCATCGGAAGCATACTGTTCGTAAGTGGAGCGAACGGGCTGCTGGCAATGGAGCGAGGCGAGCTCGCTCGAGCGTGTACAGCACGGAAGGGAGAGTCTGCTTGAGCCAAAAGGTTTGAGCCAAAATGGCTACGGAGGGCCCTCTTGGGCGATCTCGAGCGCCTCTTAGGCCGTCTTGGGGCTCTCTTGGGCCGTCTTGGGACTCTCTTGCGCCATCGTGGCGCCCTCTTTGGGTGCCTCTTGGACTGTCTTGAGCTGATGTCTGGGGCTGGGACCTCGTGGGCTGTCTTGGGCCGTCGGAAGCACGGTACAGCGAGAACACGAAATGCCCCCAAAAATCAGAGACATACCTATTTGTTTCGCCTCCTGAGTGCCTCGTGGGAGACCTTTTGAAGGCATCTTGGCCGTCTTGAAGCCTTCTTGGGCTGTCTTCAAGCCATGTTGGACCAATGTTTCAACGCTCTTGTGCGGTCTTGGGCTCTCTTGGAGCGCTCCTGGGCCATCTTGGCACCCTCTTGAACGTCTCTCGGGCCCTCTCGCCACCCCCCTTACCTCCTTTGACGCGTTCCGGCACCCCCGCCGGGTCCAAAACGGCCGGAAGACAAATCAGTGCACTCCTGGCCCCCCAGGGCCCCTTCCCAATTTAGTTAATGATTTATCTGCGTATAGATGCACTGCTATTCCTTTACTTTTTTACATACACACATATGGGTCTATATATATATACCTAGAAATATACATACATACATACATACATACATACATACATACATACATACATACATACATACAGATATACAAATATACATATGTATATATATGTGTGTATGCATATCGCCCCCAGCCCCAGCACCCCCAAACGACGGAGGACAAAAATACTTTCCCCGGGAAAATCGAACATTCCCCGGGAAAATCGAACATTCCCCGGGACAACCCTTCCCAGGCTTCATTCCCAGGTCGAATATCTGAGAGGCTTCTGAGAGACTTTTGAGAGACTTCTGAGAGACTCTGAGAGGACTTCTGAGAGACTTCTGAGACACTTCTGAGAGGCTTCTGAATGGGTTTCTGACAGGCTTCTGAGAGGCTTCTGAATGGGTTTCTAAGATGCTTCTGAGAGGCTTCTGAATGGGTTTCTGATGGGTTTCTGAGAGACTTCTGAAAGGCTGCTGAGAAGCTTCTGAATGGGTTTCTGACAAGCTTCTGAGAGGCTTCTGAATGGGTTTCTGACAGGCTTCTGAGAGGCTTCTGAATGGGTTTCTGACAGGCTTCTGAACGGGTTTCTGAAAGGCTTCAGGGAGACTTATGAGAGGCTTATGAGAGGCTTCTGAATGGGTTTCTGACAAGCTTCTGAGAGGCTTCTGAATGGGTTTCTGACAGGCTTCTGAGAGGCTTCTGAGTGGGTTTCTGACAGGCTTCTGAGAGGCTTCTGAATGGGTTTATGGGAGGCTTCTGAGAGGCTTCTGAATGGGTTTCTGAGAGGCTTCTGAATGGGTTTCTGAATGGGTTTCTGAGAGGCTTCTGAATGGGTTTCTGGGAGGCTCCTGAGAGGCTTCTGAATGGCTGTTTGAAAGGCTTCTGAATGGGTTTCTACTGGGTTTCTGAAAGGCTGCTGAATGGGTTTCTAATGGGTTTCTGAAAGGCTTCTGAATGGGTGTCTAATGGGTTTCTGATAGACTTCTGAGAGGCTGCTGAGAGGCTTCTGAATGGGTTTCTAACAGACTTCTGAGAGACTGCTGAGAAGCTTCTGAATGGTTTTCTGGATGGGTTTCTGAGAGACTTATGAGAGGCTGCTGAAAGGTTTCTGAATGGGTTTCTGGTAGACTTCTGAGAGACTGCTGAGAGGCTTCTGAATGGGTTTCTGACAAGCTTCTGAGAGGCTTCTGAATTGGTTTCTGACAAGCTTCTGATAGGCTTCTGAATGGGTTTCTGAAAGGCTTCTGATAGGCTTCTGAATGGGTTTCTACTGGGTTTCTGAGAGACTTCTGAGAAGCTGATGAGAGGCTTCTGATCTGAATGGGTTTCTGCGAGGCTTCTGAGAGGCTTCTGAATGGGTTTCTGACAGGCTTCTGAGAGGGGGGGTTCTGAGAGGCTTCCGAATGGGTGTCTGAAAGGCTTCTGAGAGGCTTATGAGAGGCTTCTGAAGGGGGTTCTGACAGGCTTCTGAGAGGCTTCTGAATGGGTTTCTGACAGGCTTCTGAGAGGCTTCTGAATGGGTTGCTGACAGGCTTCTGGGAGACTTCTGAATGGGTGTCTGACAGGCTTCTGAATGGGTTTCTGAGAGGCTTCTGAGACTCTGCTGAACGGGTTTCTGAACTGCTTCTGAGAGGTTTCTGAATGGGTTTCTGAGAGGCTTCTGAATGTGTTTCTACCGGGTTTCCGAAAGGCTTCTGAATGGGTTGCTGAGAGGCTTCTGGGAGACTGTTGAGAAGCTTCTGAATGGGTTTCTGGAAGACGTCTGAGAGAATGCTGAGAGGCTTCTGAATGGGTTTCTGAGAGACTCCCGAGAGGCTTCTGAGAAACTTCTGAAAGACTTCTGAGAGGCTTCTGAGAGGCTTCTGAGAGGCTTCTACGAGGCTTCCGAGATGCTTCTGAATGGGTTGCTGGGAGGCTTCCGAGAGGCTTCTGAATGGGTTTATGGGAGGCTTCCGAGAGGCTTCTGAAAGGGTTTCTGGGAGGCTTCCGACAGGCTTCTGCATGGGTTTCTGGGAGGCTTCCGAGAAGCTTCTGAATGGGTTTCGGGGAGGCTGCCGACAGGCTTCTGAATGGGTTCCTGGGAGGCTGTCGAAAGGCTTCTGAATGGGTTTCTGAAAGGCTTCCGAAAGGCTTGTGAATGGGTTTCTGAGAAGCTTCTGAGAAGCTTATGAGTGGCTTCTGAAAGGCTTATGAGAGGCTTCCGGGAGGCTCCTGAATGGGTTTCTGAAAAACTGCTGAGAGACTGCGGAATGGGTGTATGGCAGGCTTCCGAGAAGCTTCTGAATGGGTTGTGTGGGAGGCTTCCGAGAGGCTTGTGAATGGGTTTCTGAAAGGCTTCCGAGAGGCTTCTGCTGGGCTTCTGCAAGGCTTCTGAGAAGCTTCTGCGAAGCTTCTGCGAGGCTTCTGAGAGGCTCCTGAATGGCTTATGAGAGTATTCTGAACGGGTTGCTTAGAGTAGTCTGAGAGGCTTCCGAGAGGCTTCTGAATGGGTTGCTGAAAGGCTTCCGAAGGGCTTCTGCATGGGTTTCTGAGAGGCTTCCGAGAGGCTTCTGAATTGGTTTATGGGAGGCTTCCGAAAGGTTTCTGAATGGGTTTCTGCGAGGCTTCCGAGAGGCTTCTCAATGGGTTTATGAGAGGCTTCCGAGAAGCTTCTGCGGGGCTTCTGCGAGGCTTCTGAGAGGCTTCTGCGAGCTTTTGCGAAGCTTCTGAGAGGCTTCTGAGAGGCTTCTGAGAAGCTTCTCAGAGGCTTCTGCATGGGTTTCTGGGAGGCTTCTGAGAGACTGATGAGAGGCTTCTGAGAGACTGATGAGAGGCTTCTGAGAAGCGTCCGTGTGAAGTACCATGTACAGTAGCAATCGCTCGGGGCCTCTTCCGACCTGGCAGCAGCATCACCTGCTCGGCCTGCTTCGGCCCGCTGCGCCGCTGCCAGGGCGACGCCGACAGTGGCGGCCCGCGGCTCCCACGTCAACTTGTTGCTGCGCTAGCACCTCGGTGCCGATCGGCCAGCAGGACCTGGTTTCTTCTGTTCAGTGCGGAGATGATCTCCTTCCCCCATTGTTTGTAAAGCAGGTTGCTTTGTGAGTGAATGTGTCACATGTCGGCGCTGTCACACAGATAGAAGCGTCATGCGATGAGCTGTTCATGGCGAATGCACCGTGGTATTTCGCAGGAGTAGTCGCCAGCTCGCTCTGCGGCAGCGCTGCGCGCAGAGTTGGCATTCTGGCCCGAACGTGCGAGGTGCTAGTTTGCTTGGTAGCCGCCATGGCGTTCTTGTACCGCCTCTCCAGCGCAGCCAACTGGATCGATGAGTGCGCGGACGATAATTACCCGTGGCCTGCGTCGGCCGCGGGCTCGGAAACGACCCCCCCCAGTGTCCGCGTCCGCGGTCAGGACCACCATGGTCGCGAAGACTCCCAGCTGGCCGTTCGGAGATGTTCGCTCGGCCCGTTCAGACTTGATCGGTCAGCCCTGGTGCTATCGCAGATCAATGGCTCCCAAGGTGAACCAGTGCTGGGAATGCTGGCACAACCCCGCGCATTCTTTCGCGCACGCGGCTTGCGCACACGTGGCCAAGGTTGCGCGGGGGGCCTCGACGTGCCGCCGCCGCATTGGCAAGTGCCATCCTGGGCCTAAGGGCGGAGCGCAGTCACTCCTGTGGTCGGTCAGGAGTGCGCGCGCACCGTGCCTGAGCTCTGGATGGCACTGGCCAAACGCTGGGGCCACGAACGTTTGCCTTCGTCGCCGTGCCGTGGCAGGCGGGTGCTGCTCCTGGATCGAGCGGCGACGCGAGTGCGCCGAGTGGCGCGGCTGCGCCCGCGGGCGCCGCGCCCGCCGTGCAGCCCCCGATAGTCGGCTGCCACGGTGCGCTCTCGGAAGGTGACCATCGGGAGCAGGTGGCGATCTTCCGCAGCCTCGCCAAGACCCACCACGGCGCGCACGAGGACCTGGTCACTCCGCCGCGGAAGACCAGGAGGACGGGTCTGGCCTGCGGCGGGCCGCTCTCCCCCGTGGACATCCAGGAGCAGCAGGCGATTTTCGCATCCATTGTGGCGCAGGCGCACGGCGAGACCATCGAGGTGGCCGACGACAGCGTCGACTTGGAAGCCGAATTGGAGACGCTCCTCGATGGCGTCGAGGCGGAACGCGTTGGCGGCGCGAGCGAGCTTCCAGGTGACCTTACGGACTGGTCCAGCGGCAGCTGGCCTGGCGAGCGACGCGAGAACGCACAGGCGAAATGTGCGCAGCGACGCATATTGCTTATGACGACCAAAGCGAGCTGATGTGAATGCATTCAGGTCTATGCTTGCTCGCTTTCCAGATGTAGATGCCTTCCGCGTTGCGATATGTTGGGCGAGTGTCATAGAAATGCCCATGCGAAATGTGCGCGGACACGCATATTGATTACGACGCCTGTGAACTGTGCGAAACAGCACCATCTTCAGTTGATCCTGTTACTCATCATTCCTCCTCGCGCCGTGCTTCCCCATCTTGCAGATGCCCCTGTTCTTGGACCCCTTTTGTCAACAACCCCCCCACCCCCCGCTGCATTGCAATTGCATTGCATTGCAATCCCATCGCAGCGCATTGCATTGCATTGCGATCGCAGTGCATTGCATTGCACTGCATTTCGATCGCATTGCGTTGCATTGCACTGCAATCGCATTGCGTCGCATTGATTTGGAGAAAGAGGGATGGGTTGAAGAATTATTGCTGCATTCTGATTGTAATCATACTGTGATCCTGGCGGGTTCGGTAGGAGGAGGAGGAGGAGAAGGAGGAGGAAGAGGAGCAGGAGGAAGAGGCGGAGGAGCAGCAGGAGGGTGAGGATGAGGAGGACGAGGGTGAGGAGGGCGAAGAAGAGGGTGAGGATGAGGAGGATGAGGGGGATGAGGATGAGGAGGAAGAAGAAGAGGATGAGGATGATGAGGATGAGGGGGATGAGGGTGAGGAGGATGAGGATGAGGAAGGGGAGCAACAACAGCAACAGCATCAGCATGGCAACGAAACCGTGCTATTCACATGTTTTTTTGGTTTGTTCTGTCAGGGAGGCAACCAAACACTGCTATTCACAGGGTTTTTTAGTTTTTGGTTTTCAGAAGTCTACAAGCATGGCCAGGGGGTGTTGTGGAACGCCAGAAATCAAACAAAAACTTGTGAATTGCAGTGTTTGGGGAGAGCATGGCCACCAAACACTGGTATTCACATGTTTTTTTGGTTGTTTGGGTTTTCTGGCGGACCGAAAAGAACCAAAAAAACTTATGAAAAGCATGGTTTCGTGGCCGTGCTCTCACCAAATACTGCTATTCACATGTTTTGTTCTGGTTTTCTGTCGGACCGAAAAAAAACCTACAACAAATAAATAAAAAACATGTGAATAGCATGGTTTCGTGGCCATGCTCTCCCCAAACACTGCAATTCACAAGTGTTTGTTTGGTTTCTGGCGTTCCACAACACCCCCTGGCCATGCTTATGGATCTCTGAAAACCAAAAAAAAATGTGAATAGCAGTGTTTGGTTGCCTCCCTGACCGAGAAAAAAATGTAAATAGCATGGTTTCGTGGCCACCCTCCTCCCGCAAGTCTGTTTGGCGAAGGAAGAGGAGGAGGAAGAGGAGGAGGAGTTAAGGAAGAGGAGGAAAGAAGGAGGAAGAGGAGGGCGAGGGAGGAGGAGGAGGAGCAAACAATCAAAGATCGTTTTGTGGTTTTGGTGGTTTGGGGGGTGCTGGGGGGGGCGACCATATATATATATACACACATACACATATATACATATAACTATCTGCATATATACATAGACATATATACATACATACATACATACATACATACATACATACATACATACATACATACATACATACATACATACATATACGGAAGAAATTGAAATACGTGGAAGGAAGTGGCACGACTCGGGAGGGCTTGGGGGAGGGGTATATATATATACATACACACATATACATATACATATATATGGAGATAGATAGAAACATACGTAAGACATGTAGGATTGTGTACCCAGGAGAAGGACAATCTATAGAAACATACGTACGTCGTCCAAGGCGCCTCGGAATGCGCCTCGGAAAGCGCAAAATACTCCTCCAAGGCGCGGAATCATGTTCCCGGACCGCCTTCCGGGAACATGATGGGGACGACCTCCTGAGGGCCTCCAGTGGGCCTCTTGTATATATATATATATATATATAGATACATAGAAACATACGTAAGACATGCAGGATTGTGTACACAGGAGAAGGACAATCGATAGAAACATACGTACGTCGTCCAAGGCGCCTCGGAAGGCGCCTCGGAAAGCGCAGAATACTCCTCCAAGGCGCGGAATCATGTTCCCGGACCGCCTTCCGGGAACATGATGGGGACGACCTCCTGAGGGCCTCCAATGGGCCTCTTGGGGGCCTCTCGGAGGCCTGTTGGGCTCTCCTGGAGGCGTCTTGGGGCGCGTGTATATATATATATATATATATACATATCTATCTATATATACACATATATAAATGTATATATGTATAGGGAAGAAATTGAAATACGTGGAAGGAAGTGGCACGACTCGGGAGGGCTTGGGGGAGGGGTGTATCTATATATACACATATCTACATACATACATTTATGTATATATACACATATATACATGCATATATATATAGAGAGAGAGAGAGAAACATACGTAAAACATGTAGGATTGTGTACACAGGAGATGGACAATCTATAGAAACATACGTACGTCGTCCAGGGCGCCTCGGAATGCGCCTCGGAAAGCGCAAAATACTCCTCCAAGGCGCGGAATCATGTTCCCGGACCGCCTTCCGGGAACATGATGGGGACGACCTCCTGAGGGCCTCCAGTGGGCCTCTTGGGGGCCTCTCGGAGGCCTGTTGGGCTCTCCTGGAGGCGTCTTGGGGCGCGCTCAGAGCCATTTTTGGGCATCTTGGGGGCCTCTGGGGGCCTCCAAGAATGCTTGTGGGCCTCTTTGGGGCGTCTTGAAGCCCTGTCGGGGCTCTCCTGGAACCGTCTTGGGCGGCTCCTGGGCCATCTTGGGGCTCTCCTGGGCCGTCTTGGGACGATTTTGGGGGTCTCTTGGGCCGTCTTGGGGCGGTCTTGGGGGCCTCTTCGGCCGTCTTGGAGCAGTTTTGGGAGACTCTTGGACGGTCTTGGAGCGTCGGAACTCCGAAAAAGCGAGAAGGCCAAAAACATCGAAAAAAACAATAAAAATCTACGATTTGGGCTTGTCGGGGCCTCATGGAGCTCTCTTGGAACGTCTTCGGGCCTTCCTGGCAATTCCTGAGGCTATGTATGCGCGTCTTGGAGCGCTCGCGGGCCGTCTTGGGCGGTCTCGAACTGTTCCTGGCGGTCCCAGGGGCCCTCCGGGACGCTTCGGACGCTCCCGGGGGCGCCCTGCACACCCCATGGAGATGACAGGCACCGCCCCGGGGCCCTACTCCGATATATATATATATATATATATATATATATATATATATATCGGCGGTGCCCGGCGCGGAGCGAAGCGCCCCCGGATCCCTCATCCTGGGGGGTTCGTCCTTGAAGCACCGCTGGCGCGGGCCAGCAGAAACCCGAAGGATGCACAGAATCCCCCGGGACGCACCGCTGGCGCGGATCGCGATTCGACACCCCCTCGGATGCCTCCCAACCTCCAGGCCAGAAGCTCGTGGGAGCGCCCAGGTAGCGCGCGCCAGCGTCCGGTGGCGGCGTTGGCGGCGGCGTCGGCGGAAGCAGCGATGACGGCGACGACATCAGCCAGAGAGCTCCAGAGGCCCCTGGAACCCCAATGAATCCCAGAGGTACCAAAATGTATGTTCGTGTTCCCCCTCTTGGGCCCTTCATGGGGCCATGTTGGGGCCCTCTTGGGCGATCTCATGTCTTTGCTGGGCAGCCACTGAAAGCGGTGCAAAGTGGCACAAGCCATGCACAGAAGTCTCAGAAGCCCTGTAAAACAGACAGCCTGAGAGTGGTGCTAGTTGGCGCGAGCCTTGCACAGAAGTCTCAAAGCCCTGGGCAACGGACAGCTACTGAAAATGATGCAGATTGGCGCGAGCTGCGCACAGAAGTATCAGAAGCCCTGCACAGCAGAGAGCCATTGACAGAAGTGCGAATTGGTCGAGCCCAGCACAGAAGTTTCAGAACCTTAGGGGGCCACATGCGAACCCTACCCTTACCCCCCACGATTTCTGAGGGGGAGGGTGGGGTTCACTTCGCTCGGGGGCTCCCGAATGAAGTGAACCCCACCCTCTCCCTCAGAAATCGTGGGGGGTAAGGGTAGGGTTCGCATGTGGCCCCCTAAACCTGCTGTCGTTCCTTCTTCCGACTCCCTGAAAAAAACTTGGACGGCACACCTGAGCCTGCGCCTCTCGCCCACCGCCAACTCATGCCCCTCGGTCCGACAAGCGAGGAACATAGGGAAACGGACAAAACGGGAACCGACCGAGGAGGAGGCGGAGGATAGGGAGGGTGAGGGAGGGCGGAGGAAGCAAGCCCCCCTGGTCTCAGACCCTTGAAGCTAGGGAACGACCGTCCAGGGAAGCAGCCATCTTTTGTCAGCCGTTGCAGGTCGGGGCAGGACGGCTGTCAAGGATGCCAGCTCGATTCGGCGAGCAACGGGAGCATGCGACAGCGCGGAGTGGCAACAAACTGCTGACAGGCAGCCGCTGAGATTGGTGCAAAGTGGCACGAACCATGCACAGAAGTCTCAGAGGCCCTGTAAAAGAGACAGCCCTCCTATAAGCACAATGGAAAACACTGCCGCATGCGTCGCCCGAAAGGGCGCACTTGTCATATGCCTACTTCTCAAGCATCCCGCATGGTCACGCAAAGGTTGCGGTTGCAACTGGCGACTCGGGGGAAGGAGCCTGGCCACTCGTCACCACTTCTTGCAAAGACGTGCGCTTGGTACAAGACGCTGGGGGAGTCATCACCTCTTTGTGGTCGTCTTCCCCCAGCAAGCCTCCGACGGCAAACCCTGATCGCCCCAAATGCTTCACGTGCACATTCAAATACCAAATGCCACTCTCTGTGCGTCCATGGACGACTTTCAGCTCGACCGGACCAACAGCAACCCACTGCGGAATCGTCGCGGAGCTTTGCCGTCCGCTGTAGTGATACCCTCCGGCTTGCTTAGCCTCTGCCCAAGAGCCTGTAATGTTCAGTTCTTTGAAGTACAGATCCGAACAACTTCCACCCGATCGGCGCGCATCGGCCTGCAGATGAAGCAATGCGTCATCAGCGCTCACTCCACGAGGGACGTTT